AGAACATCTTTCAGTAGCCTGTGTAGGGTTGGCTTTGTCATCACGAAATTCTTTAGCTGTTCTTTGTCATGAAAATATTTCACTTCTCCATCAAACTTGAAAGAGAGTTTTGCAGGGTATAGTAATCTGGGCTGGAAATTGTTTTCATATACGACCTGAAGTACTCTCCTCCATGCTCTTCTTGCCTTCATGGTTTGTGAAGAGAAGTCGCCCATAATTCTGATGGGTTTTCCTTTGAATGTGATCTGCTTCTTTTCTCCAGTGGCTTTCAGTATATTATTGTGCTGATTTTCTGGGATCTTCACTATTACATGTCTCCTTGTGTTTTTCATTGGATTGAGGTTCCTTGGCATTCTGTATGCTTCATTTACCTGAATGTCAGATTGTTTCCTCATATTTGCAAAGTTTTCTGCCATTACTTCTGTCCATATTTTTTTAATGTCATTTGTATTGACTCCTTCTTTTTCATTAATGCCTTTTAGTCTCATGTTGTTCGTCTTTCCATCATCTTGCAGGTGATGGATTATTCTTTCCTGCATCCTCGTTTTTAAGAGATCCTTTCTTACCCTTTCACTAGCTGCACCAGCATCTTTAAGATCTGAAACTCTGTCTTGATTTTCACTTAAATGGTTTTTCAAGCTTGTGATTGAGGTTTTCGTTTCCTCTATATCTCTTTGACTCTGCTTCATGTGATCTATTTCTTTCCTGTATTGCTCATTCAAGGAATCCGTCATTTTTCTAATCTCCCCTATTTTTTTTTATCAATGTCTTCTTTAGAAGCAGTTATAAATTCTTTTACTGCAGTGTTTTTTTCAGCTTGGGTTTCTTCCCTATGTTTCTGTAGTTCCTTCTTTACCTCAGATGCTGTGAGTTCTGAGAATTCTTTTTTTATTTCAGAAAACAGTTGTGCTCTGATTTCCTCTATATCTTTCTGCTGTTGCTTACTTACTATTGACGCTATTAATTCATGCATTTGAGCCGAGCTTGTGTCCTCCGCACTTGTTCTGAGTGGGCACTGGGTCTCCTCCATATGTTTCTGCATTTGATTCTTTAGTGCAGATGTTATTAATTCAGGGATTTCTTTTTTTAATTCCAATCTGAGTTCCTCTATACCTTTCCATAGCTTTTTCTTTATTTCAGAAGCTGTTGATTCATTGCTTTCAGCTGTGTGATTCCCAGTTTGTTCTGTGTTAGTGTCCTCTGCCCTTTTTACGGGTGGGGTTGGCTTCTGAGGTTGCATTTTGTTCCTTACCATTTTGTGTAGCCCTGTCTTCTGACTTTTGTTGTAGATCTTCATTTTAGTTATAACCTTAGCACGTACTGAAGTTCAGGTGCAGATCTACAAAGTCTGGATTTATCCAGCTCTGCCTGGCTTGGGACTGGCTGCTGTGCTCAGCTCCTTCCTGCTGCTGCCCTTGAGGATGAACATGTTGTACCCCTGTGGCAAGATGTTCTGCTCCTGACTAGCTGGGTGGTTCTATCCTATACCCTGTCTGTACGGATTTTAGCTGCAGGGTTATACCCCAGGCCTGTATGCCAGGCCTGAGCCGTGCCTCGAGGGGGCACGGTGGAGTAGTGGGGAGAGGCAGCTCTCCCACACACTCACTGGGTCTGGGCTAGGACTGGGTCTGGGTGTTTCTGGAATGTGGCAGAAATTTCTACTAGGCGGGCCGGGTGGGGGAGGTGCTGTGGAGTTGTGGGGCTGTCCCAAGGGGGTGGAGGAGGGTCTCACCCAAGCTGCGCCTGGGCTGGGAACGGGAGTTGTTCTCGCAGACGCAAGGTAGCTGGAAGCTCTCCCACACAGTCACCGGACCTGGGCTAGGACTGGGTTTGGGGGTTCCCGGAACGTGGCAGAAATTCCTACTGGGGGAGCCGGTTGGGGGAGATGCTCTGGAGTGGCGGGGGGGCGTCCCAAGTGGGTGGAAGACGGTCTCACCCACGCTGGGCCTGAGCTGGGAGGAATGATAGTTTGTGACAACATCTGGATGTAGAGCCAACTACTTTAGCTTGCCTGTGATAAGCCAGTTTTTCCTATTTCAAACACCTAGAAGAAGGGATTTATGATAATTAGGTTTGATTTTTTTTTTTTGGTATGCTTTGTGTTCTGCATTTTGTTTCTGGGATCTACTTGTAGGTATTTAGAGTTCAAACAAGATCTTTGCTGTATTTATTGTGTCAATATATTTTAGCTTAAAATAGTCCTTATGCTACTATAACACATCAGGAACATTTCACAATCAACATACCTTTAAGGGATTATTTAAGTTTCCCAAACAGAGGCTTTTAAATACAGGCAGTGGTAGCAAGGAAGTAATTGAAAGCAACATTTTTCTTTTTGAACATGTTTTTTTACCACTAAAAATATATGTGTGCTGCTGGAGCGGGCATATTTACCACTAAAAGTAAATTGGGTTTTCATTTGGATTCTTGTAAAGAAATAATTCCATTTGATGGGCCAGATAGCTCAGAGGATTAAAGTGACTGCTTAAGCAGGTGCAGGGACTGGGCTTCAGTTCCCAGCCTGTCATGCCAGCCCTGCCCTTGCTTGGGGCACACTGTGACTGCAAATAAGACTGGACATGGTAGCACATACCTATAATCCCAGTGCTTGTGAGGCTGAAAAACAGGAGGATCACTATGACTCCAATCTGTGTAGAGAGAACTTATAGACCTCTACTAAATACATAAATAAATAAAATAATTTCATTAATGGAAATGCTAAATATAATTTTATGTTTTTGTAGAGTTCATCTGAAATTAATAAACTTACTGAAAGAATATCTATTTGCTAGTTCTTAAGTAATTAGGGGAAAACTACATAATTGACATTATATAGTGTTGTGCTTTATGAGTACAAACTTTAGTGCATACAAAGAATAAAATCTTGTGGCAATTAACTTTCATGCTAGCATTTATTTTTAAAAGAATACTAAGACTGAGGAAAGAGCTGGACATGGTAGTGCATAGCTATAATTCCCCACATGTGGGAGGCTGAGGGAGGAGGATCATTGTAAGTTTGAGGCCAACTTGGGCTACAAAATAAGTTCAAGGCCAGCCTGGATTGAATAGTGAAAGCGTGTGTCAAGAAATAAAACAAGACTGAGGGAAATGGTGGACTTGGTGTGAGGTCCAAACCGGACTCTCATCAAACCACTGATTGATTGCCTTTGTTTACCACTCACTTAGTTGTAACTGTAAATACTTTCTTTGTATCCATACAAGGTTGGATACATTTTTCTTGACAGGAATTATTTCTCCTTCCTGTCTTACAATTTTAAACATCCATTTTTTTTTTCATGAATCTTATTTCCAACTCAGTGTATTTGTTTTGCTCTTACTTGCCAATACAGATTTTTATTTATTTATTTTTGGTACTGGGAATTGAACTTAGAACCTTATATTTGCCAGGTAGGTAGTTGTACCTTTGAGCTATATTCCCAGCCCCAATATAGAATTTTTATGACTTTACTGAAGAAAATCAGGAATAATTTATATGATTTCTTGTAAATTATTTTAGTTTTCTTCAACTATAAGATTTTAAACCGTTATCTAGGTAACTAATTGGAAATACTTGTTTTTCAATGAGCCAATGGTCCTAGTTTATAATTTAAAATGTTTTTAATAAAACTGAAGCACTTTGCTTAACCAAACTTTAGTGAGGCTTCTGAACGTTCTCCTGGGTTGATCCAAGCACTTCCTTGAAAAATCCAGTTTTAGCAAGAACCCCTTTACCTGATTAGGTAAGGTTAGGTTCCCTGATCTGATTAGTTCCCACCACCCCCACACCAACTTCTTACTGATTGTCTTATTATTCTCTTAAGAATCCCAGTAGGTTGGTTAGCTAGAATCCCTTTACCCTTTATATTTCCTCCTAGCCATTTTTCATCTATTAACCATGGGCCTGCTCTTCCACTCTAAATTCCCACTTGCTTACACTACTTCAGATTTGGGTCCGGTCTATCTCCTGTACTGGGATATCTCCTTGCAGTGTTCTTTATACCTATCAAAGTGTAACTGAATAAAGCCCTTTTTATATATATATGTTTCAATAAGTATCATTGAAAAAAAATTCTTTTAACAGCCATGTAACCTGGTGTGGTGGTGCATCTCTATAATCCCAGCACTCAGGAGGCGAAGGCTTCAAGTTTGAGGCAAGCCTGGGCTATATAGTGAGTTTAAGGCCAGTCTAAATCACATATCGAGCCCCTGTCTCAAAAAGCCAAACAATTAAAAAGCAATATAATAAGGCAGGATGAGAATCACTTCTTTCCTTAAAAGTCCACTGGTACACATTAAGAAAAGTTTAAAGCCAAACAGAATATTTCTATAACCCATAACTTTTTCCTTAAATATGCTACTTTATTTCTATGTTACAGATGTCTAAGAGGGTAAGGGTAAGAATAGTTGAAGTACATCATAAAAGCAAGAAAAAGTAGGGCTGGGGGGGATAGCTCAGCGGGCTAAGTACCTGCCTGGTAAGTGCAAGGACTTTGGTTCGATCCCCGCTACTGTATGCCCTGCTGGCCCAGTGCTGTGCTGGCCACCGAAACCTGTTATGGTGGCACATGCCTGTAATCCCAGCTCTGGGGAGGCCAGACAGGAGACAGGAAGATTACTGTGAGTCCAGAGATCCTGTAACAAAAGATTAAAGAAAAGAAAAAGTAGAATGAATGCATGCTGGGTGATTATAAAACAAAGCAAACAAAAATATGTACTCAGTATTTTCTGACCTTGTATAAGCCTTGAAAAGTTATGTTTTTCTTTAAAATATAAACAGAAAGAGGGATACTTGATGTTCGGCTCAAGATTGGTTACAATTTAGATCACATTCAGACCAGACTACAGATTTCCTAGTAGCAATCTCTTCTAAGCATTTTAATTTATCCTAGTTATTGTTAATGTTTTGAAAATATTTACACATAATCTTTTGGCTGTATATGGAAATCTTAATGTGTTTGCAAATTTTAGGATTCTCTGTTGGCAGAATTTCTAGATGATAGCATTTAGATCTTTTAGTGAATGGTGTTTAACTCAGTGTACTTGTTACTCACATTTGTGTTTTTTCCATGTAGATCATATTTGTGTGACTCAGAATGAACAGGAAAATAAGACAAGTACATTTCCTTCTACATCATCTGAAGACTCCTTTCCCAAAGACTGTACATTTCTGTATGTATACTCATACTTATGTTAATGCTTTTGCTCTTAAGAGATTTAGTCTTCCAAAATCACTTGACATTAGGTAAAATACTTTAAAAAAATTTCCCATTAAAGCTTTACAACTTGTGAAGTTTAGTATTTTATATAGGATAAAGGTTCATGAATCCCTTAATTGATTACTTATTTAATATCCCTAGGTAAGTGATTTTGTAATACAGTAGAACCTCAGTTTACAAACTTAATTTGTTTTACAGTTTTGGAGAGGATGGGTGCATTTGTGTTTGTGTGGGGGAAAAGACTAGATTCACATTTGTCACTTAATGCAGTTTGCAAATGGAAGCAAACACCTCTTTTTCCAAACTGATTTGTTTGCAAACATAAGTGTTTGTGATCTAAGGTATTAGTATATCTTGCTGAAGATGTTTGTGCATTTCATTAGTATCATAAAATTACCAATTTGGCTTCCCTAAAAATTAGTAGATTTAGAATATTAAAAGATTTTGTAAGTTCCTTTATTCAGTTTTTAAAATGTATACTAGTTCTCATGTAGAAAGTTTATAAACTACATTTTTCTGACTTCCCTTTCACCATTTACCTCTAATTCATTAAACATTCCTTAGCGTAGAAAAGAATTGTTCAAGAACAACTCTTGATTTCTGACACTTTGTCTTTATTTTTAGTTGCTAATATGTGCACCAAAATTTTCAACTAAGTCCTTTCTGCCAAAACATATCGCTCTAAAAAATAAAACAGTATCTTTAGAATATTAAGTTGTTACTGTAATTTTATTTATCCTTTCAACTAAGTATTAAAATGACTCTCTAAAAATTCTTGAAATAAAGGAGTTATAAAAGTTGAACTACACCTGTAATCCCAGCACTCTGAGATCTAAGAGACTGAGGCGGGGGATCATATATTTGAACTTTGCCTTTATTGCCCATTTTGGTAGCTCATGTCAGTTTTTTAAATAGTTATGTTTTAAACTTAAATATAAGTATTTCTTTTTGGTTTAAGGTCATTAAATAGTTTATCAGAGTCTTTTTTTTTTTTTTTTTTTTGTGGTACCGGAGATTGAACTCAGGACCCTGTGCTTGCCAGTCAAGTACTTATTCTACTGAGCTATCTCCCCAACCCAGAGTCTTTTTGAATTGTAGATCTCTTACGTGGTGTAATGTTTTCTATCTTTCTTAGCTTATCATGCTGTACAATTAGCTTCTTTTTTTTTTTTTTTTTTTTTTTGTAATTTTTGTTGTATTTGTTCTTTTGTTTATGGTACTGGGGATCAAACCTAGAGATATCACTTGCTGTGTCATGAACAGCTCTACCACTGAGTTACATACTTAGCCCTTGTTAAGAGGGTTTTGCAAAGTTACCCAGCATGGCCTTGAATCTGCCTGCCTTAGCCATCTGGGGAGCTGGGATTATAGGTGTGTAGCACTATATCCAACAAGCTTGCTAGCCTTCATTAGCCCATTATTCCTGCACTCAACACTGAATGGGGCATGATGAAAGACAGACTCAAGATATCAGAGACTTCTTTTCATTACTCTTTGGTATATGCTGCTGAAGTGAGTGAGCACTTCATTACTCTTGAGAAAGATCTGTTTGACAAACTGTAAATTCATTTTCCTCTGGTATTGTCCCACTTTCATTTTCTATCTTTGTTAGGTTTTTAATGAGACAGGGTCTCACTGTATTGTACAGGCTGGCCTCAAACTCATGGCATTTATAGGTGTGGATTACAGAAGGTTGCCGCTATGCCTGGTGTAGTTACATTTTCTTTTAAAAAGCTGTCATGAGAAGTCTGCTGTAGTGTTCCATAACATTATTACAGTTTATAAGAACTTTATCAAAAAGGGAAATTCTCTTAATTTGGACTTTACTCACTTACTGTTGACTCAACACTTAGTATTGGCTTTTTAAATTCTTTTTTTAAATATTTTTTTATTTTATGGAAGCGTCTTCAGAGTGTTGAGGGTCTCACTGCTAGATCGGACTCATAAGAGATCAATAGCTTTGAGTACAGTAAAATTAATAACCACTCTTCAGAGTGAGCTACATCAATATTTCATGTTCCCTTTCCTCCAAAAAGAAAAAAAGCATACCAAAGAAATTATAGCTGAAATGGAGGAAGTCAAGTAATGATATATGAAGAAAAATACAGCACAGAATCTGATTTAGAACATAATTTGGTCAAGTTGAAAAGGAGAATGAGACATTTGGCTTACTATTTTACCTATAACACTACTAACTTGAAAGTGAGTAACCTGTATTAAAATGAAGAATAATGCCAGAGGAGTTTAAGAGAATTTATTACAGTGAATTCTGAATGAAATGAAACCAAAAAATGGTAGATCTCAGAAAGACAAACTGAATTGCTCAGCATTTACTCTATATTACAATGTTTTATAAACAACAACAAAACAGTAAAAAGGAAGTTGGCAGCTAATAATAGCAAATAAGTAGTTTACGGGCTTTAAAATCAAGGAAATATTAGATACTAAAAGTGAAAGGTCAAACTGGGATGGCTGAACCCACAAAGAACCAGACCAGATACACTGACACAAGTAAAGCAGGTTTATTGGGAGTGCATGTGGGAGGCTGTCTCATGGACCAAGACAGCACAAAGTAGGGCAGGAAACTAAAGGATGTTTCAAGGAGGGTGATTGTGGACTAGGGGCTGGAACAGCCAGGTTGCAGGTGGACATCATTTGTCTTCCTAGAGATTTAATTTTGTTTAGGTCAGAAGAAAGTGAGCTGAGGCCAACATGGGTCAAAGGGAAGTGAGCCAAGACCGGATGTGGGGCCAGGTTGGGATCAGGGTTGGTGCAGGTTACCTAGGAAAGCAAGGGAGGGAATGTTTGGAGCAAGGTGCCGGGGAAACTTTGAGTCCTAACCTATCAAAAGGAAGTAAAAGAATAAAAGTAATTACGAAAGTGGGCTGGGCTAATGAGTATAGTAATTAAAGGAGAGAGCGAAAGGTAGATTATAGCGTCTATTTCCCTGTTGTAGTTTTTAAGTTTACATAAATAGTCATACATATACTTTTTTACTTCATTTAGCATTAGTTTTAAGATCTAGTCATTTTGTTATATTTAGAGCTGTTTCATTTTGTTTAACTCTAGTTTGATTTTTTTGTAATATGCAAATACATTTTATTTATCTGCCCCTTTATGGATGTATATTTAAATGGTTTCATCTTTTTTTAAAAAAGGATTCATTATGAAAGTCACCTCTTAAGGAGGTTAACATGTTCACGATGGAACTCTAATTTGTATATCTTCCTGCCAGGCAGTTCTGATTTGAATTGACTATTCCATCAGGTAGCTTAAACTATTAGTGGTATATCTGACTGACTGTCAGGTAGCTTGTACCTCTCATCAGGGGACCTTTAATTATAATGAAGCAAAGAAAGGCACTGATTTAGCAGACCAGATGTCATCATATTACAATTCTTTGAGGAAAACATTAAAATGATATACAGAATTATAATACAGCTAATTTGTGGTATAGCAGTTATAATTGCATACTGTATACACCAGCAACAGGGTACTTGTAAGGTTTCCATGTTAAAATTTAGAAGATTAATTATTGGGCCTGGAGAGATACCTCAGAGGCATAAGCACCTACCTGACAAACACAAGGTCCTGAGTTTGATCCTCAGTCCTGGATCCCAGGTACTCCATGTTGGCCCCAGAACTGGGCATGGTGGCACATGCCTGTAATTCCAGCACTCTGGAGGTTGAGATAGGAGGATTGCTGCGAGTTCAAGACCAGCCTGGGAGCTTCAAAAGTGAACACAAGCCCAGGTCAAACTGCGTAATAAGACCCTGTCTCAAAAAAAAAAAAAAAGAAAATTATTGGCAAGGTATTCATGAATATAAATATTTTTCAGTTAAATATATTTGTTGATTGTTATAATAATTTTAATTTCTATGAACTATGTTAATATTTATACTTGAGCAGGAATCAAATTCAAGTAACTAGATTTGCTCCATTTATAATTTATCAATTTTATTAGATCCATTTGTACCACCAGTGGTTCAAGCCAGTGGGAATATGTATAACCTGAGATTAATGAGAATATCCAAAATGTAGAAGAAGAGGGCCAGTAGGTGAAAAAATAAAGAGCATTGTGAATAACTAATTTTCTTTTAAAATAATTAATATAAAATCAGTACATAGAGAAATATTGTCAGGGTTATCCTGAATATAAGAACTTCAGATATGGTATAGTGAGAGCCAATGTGCTGGTTTGTATATGTCAAAAGAATGATTTCTAAGTTAATACTCCATTTACATCAGTACCTAGAAAATTAACAAAATTTATTTCCCATTTTTAAGTTGATATTATTTTAAAAACTAATTATTATAAACCCATACTACCAAAGTATTGATCATGGGAAGATCTGCGATATTTATTCTGAACTAAAAGATGAAGCAAACAAGTAAAAAAAAAAAAAAAACACCAAACTTAGAATAAATCAAATAGAAGGCATGATCAAAGAAAATAACTTCTGAGTATACAAGAATACAAACTCTGGAGGTAAAAGTACCACAGTATTAAAAATTACTATTAAGTGCCGGTCAGATACCTCAGTGGATTAAAGCGCCTGCTTAGGCAGATACAAGGGCCGGGAGTTCGATCCCCAGGCCTGCAGTGCTGCACCTGTGTTGGCCCTGCCCCTGTGGTGCACTGAGATGGCAATTGAGACTGGGCATGGTAGTGGGTGCCTATAATCCCAGCAATTGGGAGGCTGTAAACAGGAGGATCACTGGGAGTCCAATCTATGCAGTGAGACCCCGTACACTCTGTGCACCCTGTCCTAAATATAAAAATAAATAAAAATTACTAGTGGGCACTTTTGGGGGTAGTGCTAAGGATTGAGCCGAAGCTTTTGCACTGAGCTATTTCCGCAGACTTTTTTTATTTTTAAGAAGGATCTTGCTGGGTTGCCAAAGCTTGGTTCATCCTTGAAAATCCTCCTGCCTTGTAGAATGCTAGCATT